GAGAGTAGTTGAATCTGTAAAGTGCTTGATAGGGACTCGCAGCGGAGGCAGGCATCTAACCTATCCTAATGTGTGTGCGCGCCATGAGTGTAGAATACGTAAACACTTTTTAATCAAACGTAAATTCGTCCCCCGCGATTTTTTTTGGCCAAGTCAAGTCAAGTGTGTTCATAGAGGTTTCCATGGGCCAATGCGAATAAATCTAGATTTAAATTCAAAAAGACACGATATTGTCGGACCTGACGTTTTATTCTCATCCAAAACAACTATGTAATGATACATATCTACACTACCAGTTTAAAAAAATTTTGAACAGTAAGATTTTTAATGTTTATTTAAAGAATTCTCTTCTGCTCACCAAGCCTGCATTTATTTGATCCAAAGTACAGCAAAAGCAGTAATATTGTGAAATATGTTTACTATTTAAAATAACTGCTTTCTATTTGAATATATTTTATAATGTAATTTATTTCTGTGATCAAAAAGCTGAATTTTCAGCATCATTACTCCAGTCTTCAGTGTCACATCCTTCAAAAATCATTCTAATATGCTGATTTGCTGCTCAAAAAACATTTATTATTATTATTATTATTATCAATATCTAAAACAGTCGAGTACATTTTTTCAGGATTCTTTGATGAATAGAAAGATCCAAAGATCAGCATTTATCTGAAATAAAAAGCTTTTGTAACATTATACACCATACCATTCAAAAGCTTTGAGTCAGTTTTTAAGAAATTATAGAAATTAATACTTTTAGCAAGGATGCTTTAAATTGATAAAAAATGATTGCATACAAAATATTTCTATTTCAGATAAATGCTGTTCTTCTGAACTTTCTATTCATCAAAGAAATCTGGAAAATTTCTACTCAGCTGTTTTCAACATAACAATAATAAAAAAAATTTGAGCAGCAAATCAGCATATTAGAATGATTTCTGAAGTGCAGGCTTGGTGAGCAGAAGAGACTTCTTTAAAAAACATTAAAGATCTTACTGTTCAAAAACTTTTGACTGGTAGTGTATATCATAACATATATATATATATAGAAGTGGTGGTGGGCCGCCTGGACCAAAAAATGCCAGGGCCGATTTTTTTGTCCCAGTCCAGCCCTGCTTAAAGTATTAATGAATTTTCTGAAATTTTCAGTATTCTGTCAATATTTACTCACCCCTTTGTTGTTTTAAACCCATATGCTGTTATGAAACACAAGAGCAGGATTTTTTTAAGTATCTTTATGTAGATGGGTTCTATTCAACTAGAGTTCATAGTGTTCTCATCTGTCATGCTCCAAAAGGGACAACAAAAAGAGCAGTCCATATGTCACTGTTTTCAAAGTCTGAAAAAGCATTCTTTCAAAAGCATCAGCTTTGGAATGATATGACTAAGTAAATAATGAGGAGATATATATTTGTGAGTGAGCTATCCCTTTAAATGTTGGTGGAAATGTTGTGCCTGTCTAAGAGGCTGATGAGGCAGCTCTCCTGTCAAAATGCCAGTCCTCCCTCCTGATTGCTAGGGGCTTCAGAGGATTCAGCAGACTCAAGCATCCGGCATCTTCATTAGTTCATGCAACATAACATGTCAAAAATCCTTCTGTAATAATCAGATTTCCCTAAATCGCACAATCCTAGATTAAAAAGGCAGGGGAGAGAGGAAAAAAGGCTGTGCTATGATGTGTAAAACTTGTGTTTTTTTTAAGCCAGTGAAAGTGGCTGAGCAGTGAAGACAAGTTATGGGTACACTCACTGAGCCTTGTGTGCTGCTCTGACACCTGCTGGAGTTTCAGAGCACTGCAGGATGGGAACCAAAAACACAGCAGAGGTGGAATAGAGACTGCTAGAGGTCAACCTAATCCCTCTTCTCCTTTATGGAGAACAGATTTCTCTTCATGTTGCATAAGAAATAGCTATTTTTATGGTTTAATGCCACCTGATTAAGTAGACGACCTTAGTTTGCCTCCAAAGGGCCCAGGATAACATTGTCCCGTCCTGATGACGGCTCTGCCTATGCAGGGGCTCCTAATTATTGTCAAATTGAGAGGAAGTCAGCAGGTATTATACATGACTGTTTCTCAAGTGTTTTAGAAATTCCCCGCATCTAATTTTATTGCACAGACACACACTCATACTCCATCATCTTCTGTCAGCTGGAAACTCCAATTCAATTAAATTTGACAATTAATTAATTAAAGCTGGCAGAGTTCTTTACACTGAATGGTGTTTAATGTCCAGTTCAAGCCTAGATGAAAGTTGGAAAAAAACATGTCTACTAAAAATTATTATAAGCCTCCTATAAATGCAATTACATTTCATTATTCATAATTAAATGTATTATATTAATTAATTTTATTCATTATTTTAAGTTAGAATTTAAAATACTTCCTGTATTATATTCATATTTACATAATTATTATAATGAACGATGATGATGATAAAAAATTATTTTTATAATTATTATTATTAATGAAATGCTTTATTTCATAGCATGCTTTAAGACAGGAGAAAATATCAAAAGCATCAGGAAGATCAAAAGCGTAAATGACAGCGATTTAATTTGAGATGCAATTAAACCTGAAAAAAAAGCTATTTGAAAGCTAAAAGCTGTACTGAGCTATTTTTAAGGTGTTCACGGACACCGAAAAATATGACCACTAAAAATTATTTTTTCCCATAAATGCAAAAATAAATATTATTCATTAGTATATTAATGCGTTCATTTATAGTTTTAAATCACTTTAAATATTTAATGTGTTTTTATTATTTTTATTATTATTATTATTATTATTATTCATGACATGCTTATCGTTAATAGCACACTTTTAAGACAGGAGCAAGATTATCAAATGCATCAGGAAAGATCAAATGCCCAAATGGCCACAGTTTAATTACAGATATGCAATTAAACCAGGTAAATTATGATTCTGCTTTATGAAGAAGGCTTAATTTTTCTTTGGTGACAGAGAGTATTTCAAAACAAACACATTAGAGCAAGAGAGAGAGGAAGAGGAGTAAACCCCTTATTCAGCTGCTCTGCTCACCAGTCACACCAAGGATCCCAATCAATCCTGGAAATTGGTTTGTTCCCTGACAAGGTTACGAAATGACAGGGTGGTAGAGAGAGAGAGAGACAGATGGGATGGGAGGAGAGAGAGAGAATAAAAGAGAGATGTTGGTGTTTGCTTACTGACAGGCTGCTATCTCCAGCAGGGAGTTTGGCTGTGTTTGGGCTTGTGGCAGAGATTACACTGCAACACTTATGTTCACCTGAACAGAACGCATGCGTTTCATAAATATGTAATAAGAAAGTGTAGTGTAATGGGATTTGGCTTTCCTCATTTACTGTTCCTCAGTACACTATCCTGACATTTCAATGTGAGGCCCATTTTCCTCCTGTCCCAGCTGAACTCAGTATACAGGCTACATATAAACATACAATAACAGTCAGTCTGTCATTTTGGTTAACTCATTGTCGGGGTATATGTGTGTATCTCTGTTACAGGAACATTTCACGCCGGAGTGCAAGTTTAAGGAGTGTGTGTTTGAGAACTATTATGTCACATACTCCTCGATCTTGTACCGTCAAACGCAGTCGGGTCGGGCCTGGTACATTGGCATTAACCGAGACGGACAGGTCATGAAAGGAAATCGGGTCAAAAAGACTAAAGGAGCAGCCCACTTCCTGCCCAAGCTCATAGAGGGTATGTTTTTATTCATAATAATAATTTATTTGTTGTATGTGGACAGCACAATGCAAAAGTTTGGGATCTGTGAGATTTTTTTTTTTTTTTAAGATTTTAAAAATTATAGTTTTTTATATATATATATATATTTGTAATCTTTTTGAAAGAAGTATCTTATGCACACCAAATCTGCATATAAATATATTTTATATTTTATTTAAATACAGTAAAAACAGTAATATTGTGAAATATTATTACAATTTGAAATAACTGTTTTCTATTTTAATATATTTTAAAATGTAATTTATTCATGTGATGGCAAAGCTGAAGCAAGTCTTCAGAGTCACACAATTATACAGAGATCGCTCTAGTATGTTGATGTGGTGTTTAAGAAAATAACGTATTATTATGTTGAAAAATTAATATTTAATATTTTCGTGGAATTCATGATACATTTTATTTACATATTCTTTTAAACTTTCAATTCATCAAAGAATCTTTAGGATGAATAGAAAGTTTAAAATAATAGGATATCTATGAAATTGAAATATTTTGTAGCATTATAATGTCATTACTGTCACTTTTGAATAATTTAGTGCATCCTTTCTGAATAAAATTATTAATTTCTTTTTAAAAACTTTCACTGACCCAAAAATGCATGAATCATCATTGATCATGTTGTGCCAAACCTGTATGACTTACTTTCTTCTGTGGAGCATGAAGATATTAGTTAAGAAGACATTAGCTAAGTCCAGGTCAAAAAACTTGCATTGATTGTATGGACAAAAGAATGCAGAGATATTTTCAAAATTTCTTCAGAAGAAAGAAATTCAGGTTTTGAATGAGGGTGAGTTAATGTGACAGAATTGTCTTTTTGGGGGTGTACTGTGCCTTTAAGCGTCTTTCTTTTTCCAGTTGCCATGTACAGGGAACCATCGCTACATGCCGTTGCTGAGCAAAGCCCACCTAGGAAAACGGCCAAAACATCAGACTCCCCCGTCCATAAAAACAGCAAGAAAGATCAAGTGCTTCCCGCCTCCACAGCCTCCTAGCGGCACTAGAAGACACTCTTCGTTTGCACGGACACGCCATGAACGCCAACAGTGGCACAGGAGGTTTGGTACAAACAATGTTTGTAGGCCCTCCACCGACCCTCAGAACTTTGATATTTCCAACAATGAATCAGGGCTCAAAAGACCCTTGCCGACAAGTCTAATGCCCACCGCACTTCCTTTTGGTCTCCCCTGCTCCTTAATCAAGGGAATACCGAGCAATAATAACCGCGCTGGTCTGGGGTCAGAATGTGACGGCATCGCTTTTGTGAGAACAGCAACTCCTAAAAGAAAGGATCTTTGTCTTCCTCTCCTTTTTTAGTATTTCAAGAAGAAACACTTCCTCTTGTGAAGCAATTCGTGCTTGACATTTAAACCCTCCGTTTCCTTTGTTCAAGCATTCATAGATTCCCCGAAATCTGTTTTCTTTTCTTTCTTTTTTTTACAGAGATCCCCCGTCATCTCTAAGCCTTGTTTGTAATCTCCTCTCCCTTCTCTACCTCTTCTGCACTTTGATTAGCTTGAGACACAGAGGCTATTTTCCACTTCACAACACAGGAAAAGCCCCGCACACTCTCCCGGGGACCATTAAGGATGCCACCACATACTCACACACAGACACACACACACATACACCAAATAACTAAATAAATAAAACTTCCCCTTCTCTTTGGATGAGGATGTTTAGAGTCATTGTACCTTAGGCAGTGCAAACCTTTCTCTGCTCATCGGCTCCTGCGCTGATGAGTCTGCGGAGGCTGGACGTGTGAGTGTGTGTGTGTGTGTGCAGTGAACAGTAATACAATATAATTTGTAAGATGACTCATAACAGAGGCAGTAGGGCGGCATTATTGTTTATTTTTGTTGTGATAAGTCGTTGTTTTTCTCATTGCAATATGCCCAGAGAGCAATATCGGTACAGCTGCACTCTTTCTCCTCTTCTTAGCATGTGTGTTGCTTTCGAGCAGGGTTTCTCAAAGTAGATATGCTGACTACTGAGGCTGCAAGTTTCCCAAAGTTCATGTCCCTACATTCAATTTAATTCTATTACATTTGCCTGAGAGCAAAGGCACTTCACCCAGCCGAATGAAACAACACAAGTGCTGAAAAAGGTCCAATTCTGCTTCATTTTCTTCTGAAAAAATTGGGGAATGGGACCCGGAGGAGCTCAAAGGGAATCATTTTGGGAAACCTTGCACAGAGAGTCCAAACAGACCTGTAACTTCTCACCTCCAGAGGTGTTGAGAATATCAGTATGTAAATGAAAATGTGTTCTAAGTGCTATGAGGAACCTGATGACACATCGCACTTCTGCCTTTGCAGTAATATTTCTAATAATGTTTTCATGCATATCACCTACATTATGGAAATATGATTTAATAATACACTACCGTTCAAAAGTTTGGGGTTGGTAAGATATTTTTTTTTTTTATGTTTTTGAAAGAAGTCTCTTATGCTCACGAATGCATTTATTTGATGAAATATACAGTACTGCTTAATATTTTGCTGCTTAATATCATGCTACATTTCAGGAGTCTTTGAAAATTCTAAAGAATAGGGTTTTTTTTTTTGTAACAGTCTTTCTTTCACTTTTGATTAATTTAATGCACCCTTGCTGAATAAAAGTATTCATTTCTTTTTTTTCTTTTTTTTATATATTTTACTGACCCAAACTTTTAAATGGTAGTGTATAATATAATTTTGGAGGTAGAAAATGTTCCCTATTTAAATACATAATTATTAGGGTCCCTTGTAGGGAGTATTTTAGCTGGCTTTTGATTTTTAGTCTAATGTTTTTTTTGGTTGCAGTATAGTTATATCAGAGTACATTCCCTTGCTGGTTATATCTTCACTGTGATATCAAGTGCAAAGCTTAAACTAAGTGCAAAAAATCAAACTTTTCTCCTGCTGAGTTGAATCATTTCTCATTCCGTGCACCTGGTGTTGAGGAAATTATATGTGTGATCATTCTAGATTCAGTCCCCTGCAGCAATGCATTATTAGGAGAAACAAAGTTATTAAGACCAAAGTGGAAATAGCTAAAGAAATTTTAGACTTTGGGAATATTTACTAAATTCTTCCACATTTAGATCAGGATGTCAATCTTTCCCAGATTACAGTTTCCTTACTGCAAATCACAGCAGCACCCGCAGGTAATTCACAATCCCCCATTACAGAAGTTGGTGCTTGCGGTTAACGTCCCGAGCAGATTGTTTTTCAGAGGGGCTGAATCAAAATGCTCTGCATCTCATACTGTAGCTTCTGGGTACATCTTGATTTTCTTCATAAACTATAATTTGTTTTGCAAGTAGCAATGCTCATCTCAGACTCTAGCAGACTAACTAAAGTTGAAAAAGTGAAAAAGCATAATAGGACCCCTTTAAGTCTTGCATTGTCCACATCATTTAAGTTTGAGCTTCTATATTATCTGAAGGGCTATTTACGTAAAGTTTTGCAGGTCCATAATGCTGTAATCACAGACAAGAAAAAGTCAACAGAGGCGCTATAAGACAAAAGACTTCTGAATTAGCAATGCCACGCTGAAACAAAATCCAGCAGGCCAGACCGCAAAGGTTAAATAAATGATAAAGGCAATGTCGTATGAAGCCACAACTGTGCTTTGATTAGCATCCCATGGTTAATTCATTCAGTTTAATCACAATTAGACCATGAAATTGATAGTTACTTTAAAATGTCTCACTTCTAGCCTTTCAAACTTCTAAATGTCACGGAAGGACTTGTGCTAACTTGCTCAATAAAAAGGCTCTTGTATTTGTAAGGGCTTTCTAATCCAATATAAAAGGAGATATTTCTACTGCTCATTACTTCAAATATGTCTAACTGACACTTAACTTATTATAATAACATCATAATGGTTTGCTTTAGGTCAGTTTGAGATGATTGTGAACGTGTGTACAACATAATGTTAGAGAAAAGAAAAGAAAATTGGTCACTTTCTTTGCTTTGATGTATTTGGCATGCACATAAGGGCCAGATCGGGTGGTTTAACAATTATTTTAATGAAACCACTCTCTGTGCACAGCTAAGTGCTTCTCTCTCAATTTCACTGCTATTTTTCAGCCATAAACACAGAGGCCAGAAGATGAAAGCTAAGGGCTAATGCTTTTCAGAAGAGCCAAGGCATTAAAACACTGTATGTGTATACGTAGATAGAGATGACCTTGTAAAGTGCAGTTTTCTAAATTTGCTAAACTGACATTTTTGTGCATCACATTTCTTATTTTTATGTTTCTTTTTTCTTTAAATGTCCTGGTCAGTGTTTGTGTTGGCCATCACTCACACATATGTCTCTCATTGCGTTGCATTTGTGAATCTATTTGTTTATTGTAATTTGCATATTTACTAGTCTCTCTAGAATCATATAGTCAGCTGATGAGTATTTGGGGCGCAAGGTCATAAAGACGTTAAATAATGTTGTTATGTTGAGTTATGGGATAGAGTTAGTCTGTGCAATTATAATCAGCTTTTAACAGACAATTAACAGACTGATCTTTCTTTACACTGATATATTGACTGGCAACTTACAGTGTTTATGTTACACATATTACACATACAATGTATTACTAAAGCAGTAATATTAACAATGTGCAATTAGAAAGCTTTCTGCGAATGATAGTATGCACTGCTCATCGGTATTAGTGCTTAACTAAATAATTTAATGTAACATCAACACTGTGCGGTCCCCCCACCCCCACCTCCAATAAAAGTGAGTCATCCATGTTCCATCTTCACTCCCTTTTATTGACCCATTGTCGATAAATGCTTTAAAAACAGATGTTACTTTTCCCTCTGGTTTATTTCAAATTGATTAAACAATACAGACTTGTTGGTTTTGTTCAGACAAGCAGCAAAAATCTGCTTTGTTCTGTTGTTTTTGTAGTTGTTTATTAGTTTTTGCCATTTCTGAATCAAATTTAGTCCGAATAGCAAAAACCTAAACAAACCTTAAAACCATGTGGTTTGAAATCAGACATATGTCTGGAGCTTTGTGTTTAGAATTATTTTCACTCACTCTGTCCTCTTATAGCAAACCTTGTGACATTCACTTTGTATTGAATATTGAGTGAGTCAGCATTTTTTGACACACTATATGCATAAAATGCTGCTTATGTTCTCTCATGTGCCTCATGAGTTGTGCGCTGTGGTGTAATGTCACGATAAACGTGAGCTGAGGCTAAATTCCCCGTTTCCATCCTCCTTCCACAATGACTGACTCAGTTGTTGTTAATTCTCTATAACAAATAATGTAAATTCACTGGATAGTCACCACACTGTCTGAACAAATGAATCAGACTTCATCATTTTCAAATTAATAATCTTAAAAGTCAGATTTGAAAACCAAATTAGATTTGTGTGCACTGTGAAAAAACGCCACTATCATTTTTGTGAGCTGCTTATATGCATTGTTTTTGTATGTGTGTGTCAGTCTACATTTTTAGGTAGTATCTAAGCATCTACGTTTGCATTGTTTGCTGTTAGTGGTGTGTTTTAAAATCAGACTTTCTAGAAACAGTCGTACAGAAGATTGTTGCCACCACTGAATAAAAATAAATAAGGTAACTGTAACGTTTTATCTGACAGTTCCGACTTTTTTCTTGCAATTGCGAGTTTACATTTCACAATTCTTTTTCTCACAATTGCGAGATATAAACTTGTAATTGCGAGAAAAAAGTCAGAATTATAATTTGAATTATAATATCACGCAATTCCGACTTCCAATTCTGAATTCCACAATTGCAAGTTTGTATCTCTCAGTTCTGATTTTATAGCTTGCAATTGCGAATAAATATCACGCCATTCTGAGAAAAGTCAAAATTGCAAGATGTAACCTCGCAATTGCAAGGAAGAAAAGTCAGAATTCGGAGATGAAAAGTCACGATTAACCTTTTTTATTTTTATTCAGTGGTGGAAATGGGCTTCCATACAGTCTATAATGCAGCACATTTTAAAAATTGTGTATTGGCTTGTTTGTTTTTCAGAGTAAAGTGGTTTGCTGTGGTTTGTGTCATATACACATATTTTATGTTATGATATGTTGCTATCTGGGCTTTTAAAAGACAATCAGACTTTAGCTCAACAGCATTAGCACCATCAGTGCAAGTAAACAACACCAATTTTTCCAGACATTGAAATTACATACATACCTGTTTAGTGTAATTTCCTGCTTGTATTAGGTGGATTCTGAAGGGTCAATCTCTGTAAATTGAGAGCAGAAATATTTTCAAGATCAGTGGTGATTATTTTACATAAGAGAATTGTTAAGCTGCAGAGACCTTGTATTTACTGATCGTCAGTGTCTGTAATTGCTTTCTCTCTGTGTGTGTGTCTGTGTCTGTGTGTGTGTGTGTGTATGTGTGTGTGTGTGTGTGTGTGTGTGTGTGTGTGTGTGTGAGTGTGTGTGTGTGTGTGTGTGAGTGTGTGAGTGAGTGAGTGTGTGTGAGTGTGTGTGTGTGTGTGTGTGTGTGTGCGTGTGTGTGTGTGTGTGTGTGTGCGTGACTTTGAGGAGTAGCCCCAATCCGGTATCTGCAATGCAGCAGAAAAGACAAAAACTAAACCCTCCTCCCATGTTTCGACCAAAGTCTCGTCCCCCAGGATGCATCTCTTAGCCCTCACAACAGCACTGTGCAAATGTACCACGCTTCCCCTCAGCTGAATGTCATTGCCTCTGTATGTGTGTGTGACCACGAGAGAGAGAGAAACTCTGCTGCATTTTAAACGCACAGACTCACACCACATCTGCATTGCATACACAGCAGTGGGGTATTAGTCTCGCAGCAGATGTGTGTTGAGAGGGTGACCTTTAAAAATCTGAGTTCCTCAGCTCCATCCCAGCTTTAGGATAATCACAGTGTTCTCCCCTGGTCCCTAGGAGGTAACCTTTAGTTTGGAGTTTAACTGCTGTTTATGTGGCTGTATAGAGATGATGTTTGTGGAGAATGTGTCTCCCCTGGGTCAATTTGATGTGAAATGATCTGAAATGCAGTCACAAATGCAGTTTTTGTTTTGTTTGTTTGTTTGTTTTTAAATAAACTTAGTGTTATTATTTAGTGTATTTACTTATTTTATTATTTTAAATTGAATATTACATATTTGAATAAAATTATAATGATAAAAATGCAATTTATAAAAGTTATTCTTTTGAATGGCCAAAGTTTAAATAGAAATGACAATGTAACATGAAGCAATTTTAACGATTTTTACTGTAAAACTCAATAGAACTCAAACTTTGGCTTCCCAATCTCACAGAATGAAGACATAATTTAAAAAAAAATAAAATGAGTATTATTAGTTATTATTTTCAATTGGATAGTAAATATTTCCATAATAATACTTATTATTATTATTTGTTTTTATT